CAGCGTAAATGTCCGTGAACAAACAAGCAGACACGCAGGCACGAATATAGAGCGGTTGGTAGAAGGATGGTACAGTTGATGGGAGGATGGTTCTGGGCTGTTTACACGGGCGGGTATCAAACAGCACGGCATGCAAAAGGGGGAAGGGTGGGGGAGGATAGGTAGGAGGTCAAGCAAGCAAAGAAAAAAGTTGCAAGCAGATGGTAGGGTTTTTTTCTTCTTCTTTGTGTTCTCTCTGTTTTCTTTTTATATTTTCCTTCTTTTTCTCTTTTTCTTCTCCTTTTTCTTCTTTTCTTCTTTTTTCTCGTTTCTCCTTTTTCTTTACGTTTTTTCTCTTTTTCTTCTTTCTTCTCCTTCTTTTACTCCTTTTTTCTCTTTTTCCTTTTTTCTTCTTTCTTCTTTTTCTCCGTTTTCCCTCTTTTCTCCAATTTCTTCTTTCTTTCCTTCTTCTCCCCCTCCTTCTCTGTCAGCGAAATCAAGGAGAGACGAAAGGCCAAGCAGGATGAGCGAGGCAGGAGGCAGGAGGCAGGTTCGGCCCCAAGCACGTAGGAGGAAAGCGCCCGGGCAGGAGGACGACCAAGAAGGAAAAGCCATCAGCATGCAGCAGGGACATTTGGGCCAGTCAGGAAGGCACGAGCGGAGGGGAAGTGGCTGCGGCTCCAAGCTGGCCGCGGCAACACCTCTGCACTTGGCTGCTTGCCCTTTTCCAGCGGTGACTCATGGCGCCTTTGTCCTGTTCCGTCCCTTTCCCGGGGCGCGCGCTGCTCTCCCCTCTTTGAGCTCCTTCCTTCGTCTCTTTACTCGTCTTCCTTCTCGCATCTTGAGGTCTTTTTACCGTTCTGCTTCTGTTCCCTTCGCTCATCCATACTCTCTCTGCTCTCCCATTCCCCTAGCCACCTCCTATCCCTTCCCGCACCATTTCCTTCCCATGGCTTCTTCACTCCCCGTCCCTTCCCCTCTTCACTCCCCTTCTCCTCCCCTCCCCTCCCCTGCTTCTCCCTTCCCCTCCCCTTCCCTAATCCCCCCTCTTCCCAGTCCGTCCAGTTCCATCTTCACTCCCTTTCCCTGCCTCATCACATCTCTCTTCACTTCCCTTCCCTTCCCCGCTTCACTTACCTTACCCTCCCTTCCCAAATCCCTTCCCTTTCCCATTCCTTTTCGCTCCACTCCCATACCCATGCTGTACAGGAGGGTACCGGTAATGCTTTTTTGAGTTTCATTTTGTACATGCAGTCCTTTAGTATGGGTCGTGCATGAGACCATACTTCGCTAACTCCTCGAGGTCGAACTTGAATTTGTAAAGTCGCCTTCCCTTGAGTCGTACTCTTGGTTGAAGTCGAAGCGTATGCCCTGTTTAGACGAGGAAACCCGACGGTCAAAATAAGCCCATATTACACAGATACCCATCACCCTCGGCATAACTTTCTCACCCTTTCATCCTACACTTTAGACGTCACACTCTCACACGTCTGCATAGCCAGGTAATGAGGAGGAATTGTGCCAAAAGTGAGGAGGATTTTTGGTGAGCTTAGGAAGTAAAGAGGTTGGATTGTTCAAGAAATGAGGAATATTTGTGGTAGAAACGCTGTGAAATTGTGAAAGAGACTAGTTGGAATTGTAGAAGAAACGAGCTGGAATTCTGCAAGACTCGAAGAAAAAAGATAGATGGTGTTGTTGATGAAAGGAGTTGGCATTTGGCGATGAAATGAGGGAGAAATGTGTCCGAAATGAGTGCGAATTGAGGGCAGGTGACGGCGAGAGTGCGGCAGAGGGGAGCGGCCGCAGGAGACTCGCGTGCGGGAAGGCCGAGCCGAGGGGCGGGACCCTCTTGCGGCCACCCTCTCATTCCCGGCAAATCACAAGCCAAATGATAGCCGCGTCGCTGCTACGATTCCATCATTTTTACTTACTCCATCACTGCCCGATGTCGTCTGTCATTCCGTCGACGTTCTGCTTTGGCCTCTCCTCGTCTCCCGTCATCTTATCACGTCTCCCTTGTGTTCTCTTCGCTGTTTGTCTGTGGTTAGGTTGAGTGTTCCTATTTTCCTGTCTCGGAGTTCTTTTGTGCCGCGGTTTTCTCCCTCGCTCCCTCATTTCTGACCCTCGCTCTCTCATTTCTGACCCTCGCTCCCTCATTTCTGACCCCCACTCCCTCATTTCTGACCCCCACTCCACTAGCTTTCTGCGAGGTTTAAAAGAAAATTTCTCCAAGCAGGAGGTGTGGTGATTTTATCTTGGTTGGCGTGGAGGATGGATGTACATGACCCCGGGGTCACCGTGCACGTTGACCTGCCTTGCATCCCCCCCCCCATCTCTCCAGCTGCAGGTGTTGGTATGGCACTCAGGGAATTGGCACTCGCTGGTGAAGATTCTTGCATAAATCTTCCTTTCTTCTTTCATGTCGTCTTCTGCATTTCCACTTTCTTCCTCTTTATTTATCAATTTTACTCTATCTACCTTCCTTTTTTTCGTCGTTTCTCCTCTTCGTTCTTCTGACTTTTCCTCACCCCACCGCTGTTTGCCGACCCACCATCTCCCCCCCCCCGCTCCAACCCCTGCTCCTCCCCCCCGCCCCTGCCCCTTCCCCCGCCCCTGCCCCTTCC